TCCACGCTCGCTGTTGTCACCCTGTTGATGACGTCAGCGATGCGGTTTAATCGGGCGCGCTTTAGTCGAGCGCGGTTTTGTCGTGCCACGGGTGCAAAGAAGGACAATGATTAGGGGACTGAAAAAGTTTTGCAAGAAGATAGTGAGCTAAATTGTTAACTTTAGCTTTGAGAAAAGATGGCTCTTGCAAGACCCATGATAGCTCTTTCCAAGTACCTGAAAGAACCTGATACAGATGGTGGTCAACATCTGTTCTCTTTCATTCTATTGTGCAGGTCTCAGAATAATGGTCTTTAACTTAGAGAAGATGGATGTTGGTTGGATATTAGGAACCCTTCTAATTAACAACAAGAACAGCTAAACTGTGGGTCCAATTATTGAAAAGAGAGGTGAATTCACTGGTTATGTTCAAATAGAGAATAGAAAAACATCTGTCGGGGAGACTGTAATTTGGATTCCAGCAGGCACCAGGGGTTAGACAAAAAGGCCCAATTACTATGCTCTTCCAGCTTTGCTATTCTTCTCAATAAATATGCCTAAGAATGCATTACAATAAAAAAAAATTAATAGTGGAATCCAGAAGTCGGAAACAATGCAAAATGCAGTCTATGACATCATAAAAAGTATAAGCAAAGTTTAAGCAATAAACCCCCGTGGAAAGGCTCGGCTGCTTTAAGGAGTTACATCCAGGTAATTCCCACAGTCCCCACATATGTAAGTTTCTGTTTCTTGTTCATCCCTTCGTTCTAACGATCAGCCTTGTTTTCTAAGACTAAGAGACAATGGGCTTGTGAGGATTGTGCCGTGTGCCAATGCGGCACCTTTCAGATGCGTTAAAACTGAAATCCCCTCGGGAAGGAAGTGTGCCGAATATCTGAGAGACCTTAAGTGCTCTGAACAGCTAAGGTTGGAGAAAGCAGTAAAGAGAGAAGATAAATATTGCAGGAAACAGGCAACGGCATTACCCTTTTAAGAAGACAAATGTTTTTGTTCTAGGTCCCTCTCCTCTCCCGTTTCATCCTCCTCCTTCCTCCTCCTCCTCCCTTCCCAGACTGATGTAATTCTTTAGTAAATTTCAAACAGAGGCAGCCGGTCACATGGCTGCTTGTGAGGCCAACATTTGGTGTCTGCACTGCCTTCCGGCTTTCTTGCCCCTGCATGAGAGCAACAACCTGCTTTGATTTCCAGGGTGCGCTGTGCATGAAAGGGTTGTGACTGCAGGCACACATGTGCCACTGTTGCTCTTACACAACGGCTACGATTGGTTGCAAGCTGTTTTTGTCTCTGTACCATGATTGGTTAAGATTAAGGTGACCAGATTTTCAGATTGGTAAAGAGGGACACCTTNATATGCTGACTCTGTAAACCGCTTAGAGAGGGCTGAAAGCCCTATGAAGCGGTATATAAGTCTAACTGCTATTGCTATTGTTCTATGTGTCTGCTCCCAGTCCTTACCCAGCTCCCCATCCCAGAAATTACAGAAACACGTGTGTCATGTTAACAATGTCAAAATATTTTAATACGTGTCACACACGCAGTTACATTTCCATACAAAACACAACCAGGGGAACAAACATCCATCAAGACCCACTTTTCCTTCAAGGGCCTTTATATAACAAAGACCAGAAGAAAGTCCCAGAGAACTGCAAAACCATAGATTTGTTAAGCCACCTCAGCAGCACCCCTCATCCACACAGCCTTATAGCAGGGTGAGAACTCTCTCTCTCTTTCCCCTCTTGGATCCCAAATGAAGACTTTTGCAACTCACAGAACATGCTCGGCATGGTAGGATAACAAGAGGTCTACTCTAACCTTCCCAAAAGTTTGGAGGTGGAGAGAAAAGGGGTTTGGAAAAGGGGATTTCTGAACAGGTGGAAAGAAGCTGAAATACTTTCATGCAGAATGAGACACGAGCCACCAAGGGCATCCAGAAAAGAAGTGCTAAGGGCAGCTGGGGATTCCTCTGATCGAGTCCCACCACCACACACAGGTTCTCCTTAAGGGGGACGGCGCCTGACCTGTCCCCCGTTCCTATCGGACGGAGCTCCAGACGCCCACTCCCTTCCAGCGTCTGAATCAAACCTGTCCCGTTATTGTGACCCCCGGGATCAGTTTGGGGAAGGAAGGAAGAAGTTCAGAAAGCCACAATCGCCGTACTCCAAGGGTTGAGGTTTCGCAGCACCGACTCGTCGCAACAGATTTGCCCGGGCTCTGCCTCACCCCCTCCTGCCTCCTCCTCCTCCTCTTTCTCTTGCCGCCTTCTCCGCGGATTGTTGCCCCCGCAGGACTTTTTGCTGAGGAGTCCCGAGAAACTGGAGCCAAAGATGCTGATGAGGTTGGCCACGTTGCCAGTCTCCATGTCATCCTCCTCCTCCTCTTTCTCCCTGCGGCTCTTTTTCAGCGGAGAGGAGGTCCCGGGAGACGTTTCCTCGGGATGCAGAGCAGCGTTCCGCTTTCTGGAGCAGTCTAGAGCAGGAGCCGCCTCGGCCGGCCGTTTGCCAGCTTCGCTCGCGAAAGAGGAGCCGCAGCAGGAGCCGCAGCAGCGCGGCAACCGCTGAACTTCCCAGCCGGACGACGGAAGCTTCCGGCACCAAGGAGAAGTCCGGGGATCACAGGGCAACATCGCCCGGGCTGGTGGCAGAAAGGCGCGAGGAGGAGAGAAGAAGGGCAGCGGCGGGCGCCCTCCTTCCTCCCCGCCTTCTCGGAGAGGATTCGGCGCAGCGGCTGCCGACGGGGGAGCAGCAGCAGCAGCCGCCAGAGGAGGCGAAGGGGAGCAACCGAGTTCGCTCAAGTAGACTTGCCGGGCGCTGCGCAGGACAAGCGACACGAGGAGGTTTTTGTGCAATTTCACGCCGCCGCGTTGGCCCCGCGCGCTGTACATCTTGCCCAGCGAGATGCTGACGATGCGGTGGGCTTCCAGCTTGCACTCCATGCCGCCCCTTCTGCAGGCAACTTCGCCGCTGGCGGCCACCCAACGGAGAGACACACAAAGGAAGCCTTTCCCTTAAAAAAAAAGAGGTTGCGCTCGTGCACACGCGCGAAACTCGGAGCTCTTCCTTGCTTTGAAAACGAGCTGGAGCGAACCGCGGCGCGGAATCCACCCGCCTTGCATTCATTCCACCGCCGCCGCCGAATGCAAAAGCCTGTTCGGGACGCGCGCTTTTTATATCCCCCCCTCTTTGCGTTCCGACCAATCCGAACCCCCCCCCTCCCCCCGTCCGTACCCGCCGCGCTTGAATCGTCTTTCCGCCAACCCCAGGCCAGCCTCCGGCGCGCGCCTCCTTTTTTTGCGCGCGCGCCCGCGCTCATTCCCCGACCTTCGGCCAATGGGGGAAGGTTGCAAGAATGAAGGTTGCAGCGCTGAGTCTGCCTGCTTTTAAAAGAGCAACGCTAAAAAAAAAAAAAACCTCGTGGGTTCCGGAGAAGACGTCGCGGTTCGCTTCCGTGGGGGGATTGTGGTGAAAGGGAAGGTTGCAAGAATTAAGGTTGCAAGAATTAAGGTTGCAGCGCTGAGTCTGGCTGCTTTTAAAAGAGCAACGCTAAAAAACCCTCGTGGGCTTCCGTGGGGAATTGTGGCGAAAGGGGAGGTTGCAAGAACGAAGGTTGCAGCGCTGAGTCTGCCTGCTTTTAAAAGAGCAACGGTAAAAAACCCTCGTGGGTTCCAGAGAGACTTTACGCTTCGCTTCCGTGGGGAATTGTGGCGAAAGGGAATTTGCAAGAACGAAGGTTGCAGCGCTGAGTCTGCCTTTTTTTAAAAGAGCAATGCTAAAAAACACTCGTGGGTTCCAGAGAGACTTTACGCTTCGCTTCCGTGGGGGATTGTGGCGAAAGGGAAGGTTGCAAGAATTAAGGTTGCAGCGCTCAGTCTCCCTGCTTTTAAAAGAGCAACGCTAAAAAACCCTCGTGGGTTCCGGAGAGACCTCGCGGTTCGCTACCGTAGGGAATTGTGGCGAAACCGGGGTTTTTAGCTGGACCCAGAGGGTTCCGACCTTTCTCTTCGCGACAGAGACAAAAACATTCGTAAATCCCGCTAGAGTTATTTAATTAAGATTTCACGCATTGATTTGCACGGGTTTCCCCCCCCCCCAAATTAGGCATAAACACAATGAACGTGTTCCAGAGTTTGTTTACCAATAAAGAAGCATGGACGGAGACTTTAGGACAAAACTTAATAGTTGCAGAACGATTACTCAAGAGTTTTGCCACGAAGCCAGCGGAATATATTCCTTTATTTTAGAGAACGCAGCCCTGCTGCTTTTCCTTGCTCGTTCAACCGTCAAACGGCTTTGCTCGTTTTGTTCGTCCCTCCAAAGTTTTCGCTCTAGAAGCCGCCTTGGGAATAGAGAAGTGGCAAGTTAACCCTTTACTCTCCCTGCACACAAGAATAACAATCCCTTTCCACAGAAATTATTCAGAGGCATAATAGCGGTTTTGCATCCTTCTAGAACCTATTCAAAAAGCTTTGAGCAGCAGAGGAGGAGTGGGATAGAAGGAGGAGGGGTAGGGAGGGTGGGAGGGAGGATGGGAGGGAGGGGAGAAGGAAGGGAGGGAGTGGACCGGGAGAGAGGAGTGGTAGAGGGGGAGGGGAAGTAGGGTAGAGGGGAATGATGGAGG